AGCTGAAACTTTAAGGGAATGTTCCCTACTCATGTACAAGCAAAATCAGGTGTTTAGAAGCATCCGAGGCTCATGTACGGGCACGTGGGAATTTTGGCGCGAAAACCACTAACCCGGAAACGGGAAAAACTAGGAGGCTGGAACTTTAAGGGAATGTCCCCCATTCATGTACGAGCAAAATCGGGTGTTTAGAGGCGCCGAGCCCACCTATGGGCGTGTGAAAATTTTGGCGCGAAAATCACTGACGCGGGAACGGAAAAAGCTAGAAAGCTGAAACTTTAAAGGAATGTTCCCCACTCATGTACGAGCACAATCAGGTGTTTAGAAGCGCCCGAGCCCACGTACGAGCAAGTGAAATTTTGGAGCGAAAATCACTAACCCAGGAACGAAAAAAGCTAGAAAGCTGAAACTTATCTATGTATGACCAAAAAATTTTAAATTTAGCTCCTTAAAACCGTCTGGTACTCACGTACGGACGCGTAAAAATTCTGGTGGGAAAACTGCTAACTCAGGAACGGGAAAAGTTGGAGGCTTTAATTTTAAGGGTATGTTCCCTGCTCATGTGCGACTAAAAAATTTCAAATTTAACTCTTCTAGCGTGGCCTTTTTTTGTGAACCAGCAACTTTCCATTTGTCAGGTCACTGATGTTGACACCTACAACTAACATACCACATAGTTGCATAATTAACTTCCCGAACTTCGAGGGCCAGTGCGACACCTACAACTGACACACCACATAGTTGCACAATTAACTTCCCGAACTTCGAGGGCCAGTATTTCATTACTTTGATTCCTTGCGATCTTGCTACGGCACGAAAAGTGCAAAAACGCATAATCGCACCGGCCGGCGTGGTGCGTTCCAGCCTGGGTTTGGTATAAGATGATTGTCGAGCAAAACAGTGTGAACGAACAGGCATAATGTCTGTTAATTCATAATTTGAATTTTCACCACTGCAGTCAGAATTTCAACAGGCTGATCATCAGATCTCCACGTTCTGTATCTTCTGATGATCAGCCCGCTTGTTTTATTTCCTGAAAGGACAGTTTTCCTAATAAAAGCGTACTTCAGGACGTCAGGAGTTTTGAGATATCGTTGTGTCTGCTGGGCATCTCCTACCTTCTCTCGAACGGTGCCTTTCCTAGAGCACAGCGAGATACACTATCGACGAGGGGAATAAGATAAGAAAACATGAAATGAGGAAAAATATAGCATGGAAAAGTTTAAAAAAAGCGTGCGAGTGTCACTGTCGTACGTAATTCGTTGCTTTTTTCTAGTTATCTAGAAAAGTCAGCCAAGAGCCGCCCATACAGTTGATTTTTCAACTGCATAGCACTGATTGTTGTCCTGAAATGCTTCTTGATATCTTCTTGATGAGTTAGAGATATAAATATTTCCGAAGGAGCTCCTAAATGTGAGCCCTCAGCCACGCGCAAAGGCTGCCCTGTAACCTCCCACTGAAAGCCCTGTTCGGCAGTGCTTGAAAAAAAAAAAGATGTTTGAATATATCAATCGTGATCAGAGCTCAGTAAAACCACCGATAGTTGTAAAGGCTAATGAAACGACAAACATAGAAAATTGAGTTCGAATTTTAATATATTTTTAGCCTGGCGAAAACCATACTTCAATAGCGAAGAACCGTTTTTGCTGGAAGAAAATTTGCCCTCAAAAAATCCGTTCGAGATTTTCGATATTTGGTTAAAAAATGTGGCGGCGAAAAAAGATGTATCGTTCGAGGAAGTGAATGCTGCTTGCTTCTCAACCGTAAGGGATTTCAGTGCTTTTTTTGCATTAAATCGAATTTGTAACAGGCATTATTTTATAAAAGAATTACTGAGCAGCATTTTAGATTTTGTATTATGCTTCCAGGCTATCAACAATCGACCAAAATCACGTATGGTACTGATAAAAGAATATGACATGGAAGGCTTCAGTTTTTACACACATTATAAAAGCGCGAAGGGAAGAGAAATCGATGCAAACCCATATGGATGCATACTTTTTTATTGGCCTGCTGTTGATAGACAGGCAAGTCGTTTCATACTTCTGCGTGGAAAACAAAGTTCCATGTAACGGGCGCATAGGGACGTCTTCGTTTTCTTCATGTTTTCAGCTGTTAGCTGTAAAAGGCAGCGCTTTGTAAACTTGTAAGAAATTTTTACGAAGCTAGAAAATTGTTATTTGTCCGAGATTCTGCTAGAAGATAGCTTCGTCTTCTTTTGCAGCTCAAAAATGCTTATATACTGTTAAATGACATTACGAAATTGGAGAAATTGGACATTTCTAATTATATTAATGTAAGGCTATTCCACCAAAGCATGCTTTACTGTACTGGTATTGTGTAAAATGCGGTAATGTGGCCCAATAAGAAACAGTCAAAGAGAGTCGTCAATTAAAAGTAGATGTGATCATAAGAATCCGTGACTGTATCTTGTCAAATAATCTATTTTAAGGTTCGAGTGGAAGGTAAAATAGAGAAATTGCCGTTGAATGCAGCGGAGTCGTATTGGTACCAGCGACCGCTGAAGAGTCGCATCGGTTCAAAACTAAGCAACCAGAGCGCAGTGATACCCAGTAGACAGGTTGAAGTTTTTCAAAAAACGTGCTTTGATCAACTGTTGTTTGAATACAAGAACCTCTGATCGAAGCTGCATCATTTAACCGTCGGTCTGTTGACGAGACAAAGTACTTGGAAAAAAGAAAATTATTAGCCACTTCGAATTCTGTGAATAAGAAAAAAGAACCAGCTAATCGCGTTTTGGAATCTCATGATATCACACCTTTTTTTTCAATGCTTTTTTTTGTGTTTGTTAAAAAAATGAACCCAAATATTGCAGTATTTGGAAGAGCAAAAGAAAATTTTGGAAAAACTTGCTGCTGAGAAAGGTGAAGCTGCAATCACAAGGCCCGACGATTGGTAAGTGCTTTTTCTAGCATCGGAATTGCTGCTAAACGAGAAGTTCTCAAGTTTACGTAGTTTTACTTTCCGATGAAACCCTAGGTTACCATCAATTCCTTCATATCAGATGTAAATGTCTTTAAGAGATTAACTTCATTTACAGTAGTACCATCAAGTAAGAAAAGAATATATCCGCATATGTCCGCTCAGAGCTTTAGTAACATAGCTACTAGTTGGGCACGCGTGAATAAAAATGCATCTGATTGTGACACTTACATTTTTTTTTCCTAATTTTTTCAGGGGTTTTTTGAGACAAGCTTAAAATTGATCTGTTTTTGTTGGAGGT